TTCTTTCTTTCTTTCTTTCTTTCTTTCTTTCTTTCTTTCTTTCTTTCTTTCTTTTGTTCTTTCTCTCTCTATTTCTCTAAAATAAAAAAATATGTACAAAAATAAGCCTTTTATTTTAGGAGTTTTAGATTTACAGAGAAATTGTGAAGATAATAGTGAAGATAATATAGTTTCCACATACCCCACATCCAGTAGACCTTATTATTAACATCGTACATTAGTATGGTCCATTTGTTACAATTAATAAACCAATACAGATATAATACTATTAAATAAAGTCCATATTTTACTCATATTTCCTTAGTTTTTACCTAATTTTTTCTGTTGCAGGGCCCCATCCGGGATAACACATTTAGTTATCATGTCTCCTTGAGCATCTCTTGGCTGTGACGGTTTCTAAGAATTTCCTTGTTTTCAATGATCTTGACAGTTTTGAGAAGTGCTGGTTAGGTATTTTGTGGAATGTCCCTTGAATGAAATTTGTCTAGTGTTTTCCTACTGATTAGACTGGGGTTATAGGTTTGGTGGAGGAAGATCAAAGAAACAAACCGTCATTTTCAGCACACTGTATTGAGAGTACCTGCTATCAACATGATTTATGTTGATGTTGATCTTGGTCCCCTGGTGTTCGTTAGTTCTCGCCACTGTAAAGTTACTCCCCCCACCCTTTGCATCCTGTACTTTTTTTTTTTTTAACATTTATTTATTTTTGAGACAGACAGAGAGCGTGAACGGGGGAGGGTCAGAGAGAGGGAGACACAGAATCTGAAACAGGCTCCAGGCTCCGAGCTGTCAGAACGGAGCCAGACGCGGGGCTGAACTCACGGACCACGAGATCATGACCTGAGGCTCGAACTCATGGACCGCGAGATCATGACCTGGGGCTCGAACTCACGGACCGCAAGATCATGACCTGAGCCGAAGTCGGCCGCTTAACCGACTGAGCCACCCAGGCACCCCTACATCCTGTACTCTTTAGAAGAAAGTCATTATGTGCAGCTGACACTTAAGGAATAGGGAATCTACTCCATCACCTCCTTAAGGGTAGAATATTTATAAAAATTATTTGAAATTCTTTTGCACAGATTTGTCTCATCTCTTCCATTTATTTATATCAGCATGAACTTGTGGATATTTATTGTATATTTTGACTTATAATCCAAAACGACTTTATTTTGTTTCTCAAATTGTTCTAGATTTGGCCATTGGGAGTTCTTTCAGCTAATTTCTATGTTCCTTTGACACATACCTTCAGTAGTGTGGGGTTTAGTTTAGTTTTGTATTTTGAGAGCACCTCATTGCTTTCTGGCATTACACGATGCTCCAGGCTCATTCTGTATATGTATATTTTCTGCTTCTGTGCTAGAATCTGCTATTTCTCCAAGGATCTATGTTGCCTTTTATTTAAAGTGCAATTAGAAACCGAGATACAAGCAATGGGTATGTTCATTGCTACTCGAGTGTCTTTGATTCTAAGCTGACAAAGCAAGGACATATTTATGTCTATACTTACCCATGTATATATAAATATCTATCACTATTTCTATATGTAACCATTCATATCTTTATTAGGCTAAACATGAGTCCCCACTATATAAACCAAAGAACACAATATAGCCATTTATAAAATAAGACAATAGGGCTTTAAAATATACTCAGAACACAGAAATTCATATTAGGAAACTCAATTATTGTTATTGTGCTGTTATTTAATTTTACCGAAATGACTTCTATGAATTGAGAATTACTTTCTGTGTATCTCTGAGTGGCATGTGTTCTGGTTATCCTATAAACAATTGTTAACGCGCAGCTGGCTGAATAAAATTGAGTTAGAGATACATGAAAAAGTACTTCAAACAAATATTAATGAATAAACCTTCTGTCATCACTGTGAGGGTATGCAGCCCCTGTATTAGAGAGATACCAGTGTTTTATCCATTTTAGTGCCACCCTTCAGTGATCACGTGGAACAACACACAGGTTGAAGAAAAATGACTCCCAGAACCCTCGTTGCTTAGGTACTTTGTGTCTCGAGACTCCTCATCGCGTTGCCATCATTATGCCTCTTTTTGTTGCAGGTAGAAAACGCGTTAGCCCGGTTGCTGTTGCTACTGAATACGAGTGGTTATGCCCATAATAAAACATCATTCTAGGAGGTATCTGAGTTCCGCATTGAGGGAACGTGAGTTTGCCATTTTCAATCAGGAAGAAAAAAAAAACCCAAACATTTCCCTCTCCCTTTTTTCCCCAGACTAAAATTATGAAGCCTCTTAGATATGTCCAGAAAAAGAATCCGAGAAGTATGTAGCGTGAATCTAGTTCATATTACTCTCACATACAGTGCCATTTCCTTTCCCCATGGTTTCATTCTACGGCACTGTAATTCCATACGAGGCTTGTTAGAAACAACTTTTGACAATTTAGGGGAGTTATCTTTTCTAAAAATTAAATTCACATTATTGTGATGGAACATTTTGGAGTGTACCTGAACAGTATGCTCCCCTTCCGTCTGCGGTGACCTCAACATCCAGAAACCCAAATTACCTCTGAAAGTTTGTAAATTGCTTTGTAAAGAAGGCATCAATCTCATTATCATAGTGCTGTGTTGAAATTCATTATGCAGTCTTATTTCTTTTTTTTTTTTTTTTAATTTTTTTTTTTCAACGTTTATTTATTTTTGGGACAGAGAGAGACAGAGCATGAACAGGGGAGGGGCAGAGAGAGGGAGACACAGAATCGGAAACAGGCTCCAGGCTCTGAGCCATCAGCCCAGAGCCCGACGCGGGGCTCGAACTCACGGACCGCGAGATCGTGACCTGGCTGAAGTCGGACGCTTAACCGACTGCGCCACCCAGGCGCCCCTATGCAGTCTTATTTCTGAGCAGACTGGGGGAATTTTCTCAGCTTGACATAAATCCTTGGATGGTAGTGACTGATGATCACTGAAAGGAAGCCACATTTTCTTTTTTTCTCTTTTCATAGTTAAGTGTTTCAATTGCATTTCCTCACTTTAACTGGGTGTAAGTCACTTACCCATTGATGGCTGAATTAAGTTTGCAAACCATGAAGGAAAAAAAAAATGTTCATTCTTCTGAGCGGGGAATCAACAGCAGTAAGCAGTTGCCCTCTGGGCAAGAAAAATATAATTTCAGTGTTCATTACTTAAAATTGTGCAATATTTTTCTCTTCTTGAACCCTCCTTTTTCTCTGAACATATGATATGTGAAAACAACTATATAAATGTTTATTTCCAAGAAAGTCAGCTGAGCATTATAGAGAGAATGTGGGCTTTGAATTCATATGGATAAGAGTCTGCATCTCAGCTCTACTACTTAATTTATTTGCCCTCATCGTGTATTAGTTTCCTCATTCCTACAGTAGGAAATAATAATAGAGGGATGTAGAAATGTTAAATTAGTTCAGTTATGTATAAAATGAACTTGTCACATTGTAGGTGCTTAATAATAGCTGCAGTTAGCACCATTATTGTTGTTAACTAGTGTTAGTATTTGTTATATAGCTATTCTGCTGTATTTAAAACATTTAGAAAGGAAAAGTATATGGCCACTTTTAGAAACAGGTTAGTCTGGAGTGCCTGGGTGGCTCAGTTGGTTAAGTATCTCTTTTGGCTCAGGTCATGATCTTGCAGTTCGTGAGTCTGAGCTCTGCCTTGGGCTCCATGCTGACAGTGCAGAGCCTGCTTGGGATTCTGTCTCTCTCCTTCTCTCTCTGCCCTGCCTACACCCTCTTTATCTCAAAATAAATGAGCTTAGGGGCGCCTGGGTGGCGCAGTCGGTTAAGCGTCCGACTTCAGCCAGGTCACGATCTCGCGGTCCGTAAGTTCGAGCCCCGCGTCAGGCTCTGGGCTGATGGCTCAGAGCCTGGAGCCTGCTTCCGATTCTGTGTCTCCCTCTCTCTCTGCCCCTCCCCCGTTCATGCTCTGTCTCTCTCTGTCCCAAAAATAAATAAACGTTGAAAAAAAAATAAATGAGCTTAAAAAATTAAAAACAAAAACAAAAACAAAAAAAACCCCAAAAAGATTGACCTGAGCAGGTTGTAAAATAAGGAGCTTTGTCAGAGAATACTTGAATCATAATCAAATAGTGATATAGGGGAAGGGAAAGGCTAATTAAAATAATTGGTTGCTAAGGTATTTTTTCCCCAATTAAAAGTCAATCCCATGGGGTTAAATGAAGACTTTCTGCATATCTGAATTTCAATTATTCCATTATTCATCCATTCAGAAACTGCCAATTTATGCCATGTGAAAGGCACTGTGGAAGAAGAAGGATCCAGGAAGAGAAGAGTGCAAAGAAAATTTCATCTGAAATAAGCAAGGTGTTTTTTCAAGCCATAAAAACAAAAAGAAGCTCACCCTCAGCAAAAGTTAAGGAATATAAATTAAAAAAATATCATACTTTCTCTCATAGGATTGAGAAAAATTAGAAAGACTAATAACATTTAAAATTAGCAAAGAGGGGCGCCTGGGTGGCGCAGTCGGTGAAGCGTCCGACTTCAGCCAGGTCACGATCTCGAGGTCCGGGAGTTCGAGCCCCGCGTCGGGCTCTGGGCTGATGGCTCAGAGCCTGGAGCCTGTTTCCGATTCTGTGTCTCCCTCTCTCTCTGCCCCTCCCCTGTTCATGCTCTGTCTCTCTCTGTCCCAAAAATAAATAAACGTTGAAAAAAAAAAAACCTTTAAAATTAGCAAAGATACAGAGACACTCTCATCTGCTGCTTGGGAGAGTGTAAATTGTTACAATTATTTGGGGGAGAAAATTTGACAATATCTATATCAATTTAAAATGGGCATAGCCAGAGATTCCCATTTTAAGAATTTATCGTACAGAAATAATACCTTGAGAACATAAAGATATATATGCAAAGAGGCTTGTTGCAGCATTGTTTATATTTGCAAAAAAAGAAGGAGGGAGGACAATATATTTCTTTACATATTTCTGGGTAATAAGTTACCGCCCCCCCAGATTAGCAGTTCAAAACAACAAATACTTATTATCTCAGAGTTTTTGAGGGTGGTGAATTGGTAGCGGCTTAGCTGGATGGTTCTAACTCAGGGTCGATCATGAGAGTACAGTCAAGATGTTTGCCGGGAGTGCAGTCTTTGAATGCTTGACTGGGATTGGGGAATCTGCTTCCAATATGGCCCCCCAACATGTCTGTTGGTAGAGGACCACAGTCCCTCTCCACATGGACTACACGAACCTCTCCCTAGAGCTACTTGAGCATTCTGAGTGACATGGCGGCTTGCTTCTCCCAGAATGAGTGATCTAAGACAGAGCAAGAATGAAGCTGGCTTCTATGACCTAGCATTAGAATTTGCACACTATCATTTCTGCAGTATTCTACAATATCAATATTCTACCAATGCTCTAATATTCCAAGTCATCAAGTCCAGTCTAAGCTCAAGAGAAAGTGATTTTGTCTCCACTTTTTGGAGGGAAGAGTGTTGAGTAATTTGGGGACATATTTTAAAACTACTCCAACTTGTTCTCTGGCCACAAATTAAAATTGTTTTCACATAGAAAACATACTCATCCCAGGGCACCTGGGTGGCTCACTCGGTTGAGTTTCTAACTCTTGGTTTCCGCTCAGGTCATGGTCCCAGGGATGTGGGATCAATCTCTGTGTCAGGTTCATCATTGAGCATGGAACCTGTTTAAGATTCTAGATCTCTCCTTCCTCTGCCCCTCTCCCCTGATTGTTCTTGCTCTCTCTCAAATAATTGATTGATTGATTGGCTGATTGATTAAATAAAATAAAATAAAATATACTCATCCCTTCCAAATTTACTCCCCTTCACCCCCAAGTCTCAACCCATTACAGTATCAGCTTCAGAAAGATATCATGTTAATTTGGTCCAGGTATGGCTGAAGCTTCCCAGGTGTCATTCCTTAAGTGCAGCTCCTTGAGTACACTTCCTCTGATCTCAGGCACTGTGGACTAAAGAGACAAGGTATCTGCTCACATACACCCTCAATGTACATTATGTAGGATGGACAAAGGATAAGCACTGTAGACATTCCTGTTCAAAAAGAAGGAAAATGGGAGGCCCAAAGCAATCATTGTTCTAAGCCACATGTCAAAAGTGTCTTGATTCAAATTCAATCTTACTCCTGCCCGGGAATGATCCTCTGTGGCTCTTGGCTCCACAACCTGAGTTCTTGATGACCTCTTTGGATTAATCCTTCCTTTTCCTTGCAAGGTAGGCTGTATTGGAGCTGTGTAATTTTCTCAGTAAAATTTTGGAGTTCCAAATGCTTCTTTTCATTGTGTACTATCTCTGTCTCTTTCAGTCTGAGCTGGTAGTATTTCTGTAATTATAATTATTTTTTAGAAAACTGTTGGCCTCCTATGAATTGTATTGAGGTTCCCTTCATTCAACAAAAGCCACACCCACAAATCTCTTCAAGGTAAATTCTCTCTACCTTGGGCTTCCGTTGAACTATGGAAGAACAACATCCCTAAGCATCTTTAAAGCTCTGTTGTTTGAACAGTTTTCTGAGGCACCATCTTAGTTCGATCTTTCTGTGGTCATAAACAAGGTATTCTATAGCTACCCCTCAGCCTCATCTCTAGACCATGTTTTTCCTGGAAGTGGCCTTGATTTGATCTTTGATGGGAAGCCATTTATTAATTTTAGCTTGGTTTGCCATTTGGAAGCATTGGGCATCTCCAAAACCATCCAGTCTAGCTTTGTCATGTGTAATAATCCTTTCTTTAGTTTCTCTCTTTGTTCTCACATTTTATTGTAAACAGCAAGAAGAAACCAGGTGACACCTACAGCACTTTACCTCAAAATCTCTCTAGCTACACTACCCAGTTCATTAGGTACATTTTCTACTTTCCAGATTACTACAGGGAACAGTATACTAAGTTTTCTGCCATTACATCTCAAGGATCCCCTTTTCTCCAGTTTCCATAAAGCTTTTGTTCACTTTCCTTTGAGGCTTCACCCACAGCCTCCCAATGGCAATCAGGCCTCTAGTAATAGTTTCATTAGGCTTTTACTAACACTCTTCCTCAAAGCCCTGACAGCCTTATCTCGCTGCCCAGTTCTAAAGCCACTTCCACATATTTAGGTTTTAACATGACAGCACCCAAATTCCAGGTACCAAAACTGTATCAGTTATCTACTGCTGTGTAACAAGTTACTTCAAAACATAGAAGCTTATAACAACCATGTAGTATCTCATAGTTTCTGTCGGTCAGGAATCAGAAAGCAAGATAACTGGGTGGTTTTGGTTCAGAGTGTCTCCTGATATTACAGTCAAGATGTCAGGGCTGCATTCTTTGGTAAAAGGTGAAAGATTTATGCAATCTGAAGAGAAACCAGAGCATTGGGCTGCATTCTTTGGAAGGCTTGACTGGGGCTGGCAGATCCACTACCAAGATGGCTCACTCAATTGGATATTGGCAGAGGGCCTTAGTTTCCTGCCACATGGGCCTTTCTTTCGGGCTGCTTGAGTGTCCTGGTGACACAGAACTGGCTTCTCCTTAAATGAGTGGTCTGAGAGAGAGTGCAAAGGGGAAGCTGCAATGCCTTCTACGATCTATTCTCAGACATCACGTAGTGTCACTTCGGCCATATTCTGTTCCTTAGAAGTTAGTCACAAAGCCCACACTCAGAAGAGGGGAATTATGCTACACCTTTTGGAGAGGAGTATCAAGAATTAGTAGACTTATTTTATTTATGAATGTATCTTAAAACTACCTCCATACTCATTCAAAATAAGGAGGTATATAAAAAATATTAACTTAGAAAAATGTTGTCAATATACCAGTGTGGGGAACAAGCTTAGGAATTGCCTGAGCTTGCACCCATGGGTTAACAAGGCCTACAGGAATAGGAAATCTCAGGATGAAAGCATCCAAAATTAGGTAAGTAAGATTAGGTATTCAGGGTGGAAACGTCCCCAACTTAGTACTATAGCAGAAAGCTACTTTCACAGGAAGGAATGACCAAAGCAGGTAAACAGGTAAACAAGACTTTAGAGCACAGCAGGGCAAAGTTTCCAGGAGCAGAGATAATTAGCAAAAGAAAGGTGCCTTGTTGACCCTGAGGTAGCATGTTCTGTCTTTCTTGTCCCCTAGGCAAGTTTAGGTAAACAGAGGTGGCACCTCATGCCTACCTTAAACAACCATCTGCCCAGTGTCAGGATTTTGTTTTGTATTGACCCAAACCCCGAACACCACATATCTTCGAAACCCCCTTTCCCTCACGCCCATGAGTTGATGTTCATGGTTTCATTGTCTCTTTGTGCACATCTATCACACTTATAAGTCTTCTGATCCTCATAAAAACGGAGCAAGGACCCTTACTTGGGGCTCTTGTCTTCTCCTGGACATTAGCGTCTCTTGCATTTTAATTCTGCATCCACTCTCTTGCTGGACAGGCGAGAATTCCAGACCCAGCATCTATGACAAAAAAGAACAGAGCAAGTTTAATAGTGGTATGTATAGCATGATCCTATACTTTGGGGGAAACAAATCTAAACTTGCATATGTAAGTATAAACCTAAAAATTCCTAGAAGCCTACAGACCAAAATGTTGACAGTGCTTACAAAGATATGGTAGATACTTGCAAATGAGCCTAGTGGGACTGAAAAAAAATGAATTTTACATATTACTTTGAAAAAGGAACAGCAATTTTTTTTTACTTTGTGTTTTTTGATGTTTTTTGAAACTTGTTGCTTATATAATTGCATAATTGCATAACAGGGAGAGACTTAATATTTAGCTATTAACATTGAATTGAGATTGAAAGAGAAAGGAGTTGAGGCCCCACCCAAGTCTCAACATAATGATTAAATGTCCAAGAGGAAAACCAGTTCATTCCTACTGAAGATCTGATTTGTTAAAAGTTGATAAAAGCGGACTTGTAAATTGTGAAAAAAAATAATTTCAATTCTGCTTGTTGTACTATATGGTTAATGTTGACAAGATTTCAAAAAAAAATATGTAACAAAGGATTTCTTTGTTTTTAATTTTATTAAATGTATATTTATTTTTGAGAGAGAAAGAGAGAGTGTGTGAGAGGAGGAGGGGCAGAGAGAGAAGGAGACAGAGAATCAAAAGCAGGCTCCTCACTGTCAGTGCAGAGTCTGACGTGGGGCTTGAATTCACGAACCTTGAGATTATGACCTGAGTGGAAACCAAGAGTCAGATGCTGAACCAACTTGAGCAGAAACCAAGAATGAGATGCTTAACCAACTGGGCCACCCAGGGGCTCCTAGCATAGGATTTCTAATTAACACAGAAATGTGGAAGATTGGAACATACTTTACCTATTCTTCCTTTCTACAACTCCACAATGACAGTAAAGGATTACAGACACACACACACACACACACACACACACACACACACACACACGTGGTGAGAGAGAAGAAGAGGGGAGAAGGAGATACATGCAGAGTTGGAGAGAGAGGAGGAGAGAGAGCACAGGGACAATAGGAAAGAAGACAGCAGTATAATTTTAGCAGCTGGATGATTAATGGATAAATGGGGACCAACTCCACAGACCACAGGAAGCTGAAATCTAAGCCCACTAGGGCTAAATCTAAGAAGCATATCAACCCATGCCAAGGATTTAAAAAAAAAATGCTCAGGAACTGACTCCGACAAGTACTTCAGAATATAGGAGAACAGGTAGGGAAGAAAACAAGAGGGTTGGTTGAAAATCCACACAGGATGTAGATGGTAACCCAGGTCCTTTCCCCAGCTGGACAACTGCCTCTTCGTGAAGCTGGCAGAAAATCCAAGGTTTATTCTAAGGAGATGTCAAACCAGAGGTCTCTGGACTTAGGGCATTCAGCAGAAGGAATGAAGGCTACCATATCAAACACAGAACTGAATGAAAGCCTCTTTTCTAAACATCCTCTTCCATGGCTCAGCTCTTAGGATGCTGGCAGCCACATTTAAGGACAGGATATTAGAGGAGTCCTCTCGGAGGAAAGTGATCAGCTGAAGAGAAAAATGAGGAAAAAAATAAAATGTTGACACTTGGGAGTCCCTGTGTTCTTCTCAATTATCCTTCAGCGAAGCCCAGTCTTTAAGAAGCCCTACTCTGTCTCACACTATTTAAGGCCTCTTTCTTAAATAGGAGCCAAAATAAGAATGATGAGAGATTTGAGGGAGGGCAACTTTTAACATCAGAGAGACCAAAATAAATAGAAAAGGTAACACAGACAAAAGAAACAACATAAGAAGCAGAAGAAAAACAAACAGTAATTCTCTTCAGGGAAATAAGAAAAAACATTACACACACACACACACACACACACACACACACACATTAGATCACCTAGAAATTTTAAAATACTATACCAGAAATTCAGAAATTACAATTCTGAAATAAAAATTTAGAATGCCCTCATGACAGGTATAGAGAAACCTAGCAAATGAAAAAAAAAAGAAATAATTTCAGGGAAAATGTTTATGTGGATAAAATCATGTAAACTCAAATACTGATCTATCAAAACAATATTATATGTTTATATATATGGGTGGATGAAAGAGAAGTCTGTATCTGGGGAAGTTATGATTATCTTCAACAGTGAGGATAGCCCAGGTAATATGTAAAACACAAAATTAGGGGTTCCTGGGCAGCTCAGTCTGTTAAGCATCTGACCTGGCTTCTGCTGAGGTCATGATCTCACAGTTTCGTGGGTTCAAGCCCCACATCAGGCTCCGTGCCGACAGTGCGGAGCCTGCTTGGGGTTTTCTGTCTCCCTCTCTCTCTGCACCTTCCCCACTTGTGCTGTCTCTGTCGCTCTCAAAATAAATGAATAAACTTTAATAAAATAAAATACAAATTTAAAAAACAGTATAATCAACTCGTTCATTAGAAAGCTATGGTAGATATTTGTCATTTCTTGTGCTGTCCAGCTCCTTTTGAATGACATCTTACTATCTTTGGGAAATTTATTGTCATTTGAGCCCTGTATCCCCAAAATGAACCCCAAATTCTGTTCCAGTGTCCTTGGCGGCTGGCACAGCTATATGTGACCTGGCCTCCACTACCAGGCTCGCTCCCGTGAGAGTCTGACTTGGAAGTGGACACCTTGAGGAAGGCGCCCCATGTGGAAACCATTTGGCTGGTGAGGGCATGGCAGAATCATGCAGCTCTGGAGGGCGGCCACAAGGTTGTATTTCAGAGCGGCACCTGCGCCAGTGGGGCAAGCAGTGTTGAACATTTTCGTTTCTTAGGGCAGCCTGTCACATGCCTTTAACCATTGCTCCTAGAAGCTTGGCACCCCCATGAGCTACCCAACTGACTGAGTCCGTCTGTCCTCTGTGAGTAACAACCCTGGGAACTGCAGAAGCAAATAGAGAAGAAAAGCCCAAGAACTTGGAATGGTTGCCTTCTGGAGTGGTAAATCAAGAGTGGGAAGAGGTGGACAAGGAGACTATTGTTTTTTATTATAAGCCTTTGTTTTCCTGTTGGGCTTTCTAACCATGACTATTACAATTTCTAACCATGTACATGGGTGAGTTTGATAAGCGTTAAAATTGAAACAACAAGAAAGAAAACAGACAATAAGAACTATCTTTTGGAGAGTGTAAATGCGCTACACAATGTTACCTCTCGCTTGTTAGTCTGTGGGAGACGTTACTTGTTGATAACAGCTCTATTTCCCTCCAGGGCCTGGAAACAGACTCACAAACCTTCCTGATATCTATTTCTAGGTATAATGAAGCTGGGTCTTTGGATGAAAACTATTTGCCACTCTTGGCCTAAGAGGAAATACTCAATCTCAGGACTTGCATTCCTGAACTTAAGTGAAAATAAGACCAGAATATGTTTTATGGTATACTAAATCAGAACGTATGTCTTGGTATACCTAATTCTGACAAATAACCTTAATTAAGAGATGTATGTCACCACTATAGAACTCTATTATTCCAGTGAAATTGCTACAGTTGAAAAAAAACCCATTTAGGTTTCTGACCATGAACATGAAGATAAACTTGGAAACTTTACAGCACTATGATTAATAGAATTTTATTACTTCAGAGTTTTCAGGGTGGTGCAAATCTCCTCACTAGCAATACTGGCATAACACTATAGAAGAAAAAAATGTTTCTTCAAGTCAACATGTAGTTAATTCACATTTGGAGATAAGAATACCGTGACAACATGACAATTTAATGAATTTTGAACAGCTTTAGAAAGGGGATTATTAAAAGAAAAAGAAAAGAAGTGTTTTGTGGTAGAAAAACAGCACACCAGAATTATCTGGACAATTTTTAACAGTCATTTGCAAGGACTTATTTTTCCCTTCTTTTATCATAATTTCCTTCCTTCCTCCCTCCCTCCCTTCCTTCCTTCCTCTCTTTCTTTCTTTTAATTTCATTTTTACTACTACAGTGGTTGTATTATTTGCCTATGATGAAAATGAGATTCTGTACAAGATTCAAGAAGCATACTTAAATCCATCATTAAAAATCTCCAGGCATTTTTCAGTGGCACCTTTATATTACTTGGAATTTGGCTGTATTTGCTTTACCTTTATATTAATCACATGGCTAGTATGCCAGGGCAAACTTGAATTCTGTGGCCAACAAAGTCTCAGAGGAGGTTGTATCTCTGAAGAGGAAGACCTAACAGTGCATGGTAAATGAGATATGGAATAATATGCATAATGGTTTAATGTTACCTAGTCCCCAGAATCTGCCAAACCAGTGGAGTGATTTTGGGCAAGGCACTTAACTTCTGAATCTTATTTCTCTCATCTGTGAAATGCAATGATTGGGTTTAATGATCTCTAGGGTGATTCCCTGCACACAAATCCCTTAGTGGTGACATCCATGGTTTACATCTTTAGGATTCCTGTGGATGAGCATTTAAACATAGCTTTCAATGTTTATGTAGTTATGTAGGTAGGGTAGTCTGTATTGTCTTAGGGAAACAAAAAAGCATGACCAGTATTAAGAACAATGCTAGGGGCGCCTAGGTGGCGCAGTCGGTTAAGCGTCCGACTTCAGCCAGGTCACGATCTCGCAGTCCGTGAGTTCGAGCCCCGCGTCAGGCTCTGGGCTGATGGCTCAGAGCCTGGAGCCTGCTTCCGATTCTGTGTCTCCCTCTCTCTCTGCCCCTCCCCTGTTCATGCTCTGTCTCTCTCTGTCCCAAAAATAAATAAACGTTGAAAAAAAAAAAAAAGAACAATGCTAAGACTGACTTATTTCACTTAGCACAGTACCCTATAGGTCAATCTATGTTGTCTCAAATAACACAATCTTATCTTTTTTATGGCTGTGTAATATTACACACACACACACACACACACACACACACACACACCCCATATTTTCCTCATCCATTCATCTATTGCTGGATGCTTAGGTTGCTTCCATGTCTGGACTATTGTAAATAATGCTGCAATAAACAGCCATAAACAGGGATGCATATATCTTTTTGAATTAGTGTTTTTGTATGTCTCTGGGTAAATACCCAGTAGTAGAATTATTTGCTGAATCATATGGTATTTCTATTTTTAATTTTTTGAGGAACCTCCATACTGTTTTCTGTAGTGGCTTTACCAATTTACGTTCCCACCAACGATGCATGAGGGTTCCTTTTTCTCCACATCCTCACCAACACTTGTTATTTCTTGTCATTTTGATTTTAGCCATTCTGACTTATGATGATATCTCATTATGGTTTTGAATCATTAAGTTATACACCTGAAACTAGTGTAACATTGTGTGTCAACTGTGCTCAAATTAGAAAAAAAAAAGTTACTAGGGGCACCGAGGTGGCTTAGTCGGTTAAGCATCCAGCTTTTGACTTCAGCTTGGGTCATGATCTCACAGTTTGCGGGTTTGAGCCCCATACCAGGTTCTGTGCTGGCAATGTGGAGCCTGCTTGGGATTCTCTCTTTCCCTCTCTCTCTCTCTGTCCCTCCCCTGCTCGTGTGCTTTGTCTCTCTCTACAAATAAATAAATAAATTTAAAAAGTAAAAAAAAAAAATGAAAGGATACTAAATTAAAACAAAATAAATGAAAAAGAACACGAAGACAAGTATAGTGTAGGTACATAGGGATTCATTTGGGTAGTTTAAGGTTGGTATGATTATGTTTAATTGGGAAAAGGTATTAAAAAGCTGAGCATCATTCAGAAAATAGCTCTGTGTGGACTACCTGTGTAATGAATAAAGTTCCCCACCAAAAGGAAACAGTGAAACCCCTGAAGGCACAAAGTGACCTATATATGTTTTTATTTGTTTGTTTATGGACAGTGTATAAAAAGGAATAATATACTTCTGTGGTAAGGAGACTTATCTTGTTTAGGTTGGATATAGGTGTCAATTCACATCATAGTCTTAGGCCCATCTCACAAATTTAGACAAATTAATTCTTTTTCTTTTTTTTTTTTTTTTTTTGGTTCATCGGTTAAATTTTGTTTTGTTTTGTTTCTTGTTTTGCTTTTTGTTTGTTATTTTGGAGAGAGAGACAGGAAGCATAACCTGGAGAGAGGGGCAGGGGGAGAGAGAGAAAGAATCCCAGGCAGGCTCCACGGACTGAGCATGGAACCCATCATGGGGCTCGGTTCCACAACCCTGGGATCATGACCTGAGCTGAAATTAAGAGTTGGTTGTTCAACCGACTGAGAAACACAGGTGCCCCCATCAATTAAATTTTGGAGTCTTAATGATTACTGTTTAGTACTGTATAAAAGAACAGACTTCAGCAGAATGGTTAGGGCACAAAGACTCTAGAGTCAGACAGAACTGGATTTGAATCCCAGCTCCATGACCTACTTCCTGTGTGTCCTTGGGAAAATAAAATTCTCTGTGCTCAGTTTCCTCATCTGTGAGAAGAGATCATGCAGTGATAGAAGTCTTCCCTTCTTTTGCCTTCTTAGCAGTTTTTCACCTTCTTTTGGAACTCCTCTTTTTTGTAGGGACCCTCATTCCATGTGGTTAGTTCACGTAGAGGCTGAACCCATTCTGTCCTATCCACATGGCTGGGTATAACTTGAACCTGGCTAACCATATTACCCTTCTCCCTAATCAATATCAACTGCAGGGATAAGCAGAAGACCCAAAGCAGCCAATCAGACAATTGTCTGAGATTTCACCTCCAGAGATGTAGGGCAGATGCTCCCTTGCTGTTTGGGTTGCTAATGGCACAATACAAGTTTGGGTCTGTTGATGTCCACCATAATAGCTGTATGAAGAGAAACTTCCAGAGACACAGAGGTAGGGATAAGGATGGGATATAGAGGCCATCATCAGATCTTGGCTTCATGTGACCAGTCAAGGGTACTAGACAGGTAAGAAATGGCTCCCAGGAGCACAACAGTAATGTGGATGGTAGGGCACAGAGTGGAAGACAGATGGCATGAAGGGCAGGTGTGGAAGAAATGGAAGAAAGGGCCATCAGTTGGTATTCAATTTGCCTGCACACACGACAGCAGAAAAACCAATGCCTTGAACAAGATCGCGGTTTATTTCTGTCTTACATAACATACCCTGAAGATAGGCAGCCAGAGACTGGTGAGGATCCCTGGCTTTCCGAGCACAAGTCTCCTTCCAGGTCACTCACTATATAGATCTCATTGATATTTGCACAAGATGGCTGTGGAGCTCAAGCCATTGAGTTGGTGTTCCAGGCCGCAGGTTGATGGAAGGAGTCTAAGGAGGGCTCTTTTATGTCTTGTTGTCTAAAATGCAGTCATTTGTTCACACCTAGCTGCAAGGAAGATTGGAAACTGTGTACTTTGGTGGGCAGCAATGTGTAATGTGTCTAGCTAAAACCCAGCATTATATTACCAAAGAGGAGATAAACTGGATATTGGAGAAGAAATTAGCAGTCCTGGACGCACTGCTGGAGAGACGAAGCAGCAGGACAGGGATGAGCTGAGGACAAAGCGGTCTGTCATTGCTCAAAGGGAGGAAGTGAGAACAACTTGACATGTACAGGCAACAACAATCACAAAGACAAGACCACACTCACACATCCAATTGCGTATTTTCTGTGTTGCATGAAGATCTGTGTGCATATACAGATGTGCACATGCACACACATACGCTTATGCACACACACCGCACAATGGATCATAAATACTGTACTACAGTTCTAAAGAGTTAGGTCACAGAGATCAATAATAATAAATATGAAGCAGCCCTGTCAGTTCTAAAATTCAGATGACTCAGCTTTCTCTTTAATAATTATAAAACCAGAAACATCCTTATAAATATTTTTATTTTATTTTTATTTTTTTAAGTTTGTTAATTTATTTTGGGAAAGAGAGACTGAGCACGGGGGTGGGGTGGGGGGAGAGGGGTGGGGGGGTGGAGAGAGAGAGAGAGAGAGAGAGAGAGAGAGAGAGAGAGAA